ACTTGCTCATATTTTTGTGTTAATAAGTGAAATATTTTTTTCTTCCTGCAGTGTTGCTTGTAGTTTCTCTTACATCCCTTTTTTCATTCTTGCCTTTTTTTAAATTCGTATCTGTCATTTTTTATATCTTTTTTTAATGAAAGTACACATTCTAAAAAGTTATAATCATTTATTTCTATACTTCTCTGTACTATCAAGGTGCTGTTCGTGCTTCCATATAGGTATATATCCATAGTTCTATGATATAACTTAGCAAATTGTTCACATGCCATCGTTATCACTTATTTTCAAGGATTGTGTTTCGCACTTACATGTATGACCACATATGCAGAATATATGACGTCCTATAACTTGCGAACTTTTGTGGACATGATTTATAAGTCATTTTCAAATAGTCCTCATTCAGACGTCGTACGTTTTATGCGTGTGCTTTGAATACTTCAAGTAAGCCGTCAAAACTAATTATGCACAATAAAAGGGCGACATCTGAACAGGGTCTTCATCACACAAACTGGAACAAACCAGAAAATAGTGTATATCTAAATGTAAGTGCCGTGAATAAGGCATGCAATCATCGCTCTTATTTGATTGTAGGCGAGTTCGGTAGCGTCTTTTATCTCCCTCAATGTTATTCCACTTTTGGTCGTCTGGTCTGCTACCGCGTCAAACATTTCCTTGCTCACTCCCATGGCTTGTAACATGTTTCGGCGATCTCCAGCGTTGCCTTGTCCATCCGCCAGCAGGTCTATTATATAGACTTGGACTGTTGACTCTGCCACCCCGAGTCTAGCTGCGATTTGGGTGAATGACTGGCCCGCACTCCGATGATCATACGAAGCCGTTTTCTTGGGATTCGACGTTCGTATTTTTCCATATAGCTCTTTAAGGTTACCTGTCTTGAAGTGAAATACGGATAATCAATTTCATTGCAAGTATCACAAACCAAAGAACAACAAAAGCAATCATAAAATACGTAGATGTTAGCTAAAAAATCTAACTTACTGAAGTACGTCGAGAACGCTTCGCCACATGCGTGTTTGTTGTTGGGCCTCCACATCGTTTCTTGCTGAAAAAAGCGCAAAAAAAGAATCAGCAAACATATATCTAACAAACTGTACATAATTGTTTCATACCTTTCACTTTCTGCCATGGTTCAATATATATCTTTTCTTGTTCCGTAAATACGTGTATATGGCGTCAGGGTAATAGCTTCGAAGTAATCCGAAACTAGCCCAAGATCCGCACACGGTGAAAAAGGTGTTAGTTTGAGTGAAAACTGTCTTTCAGGAAATGAACAAACAGTGAGTCATTGTTCGATCAAAACGAACGGTTATCTGACCCTTTTTGTACTTTCTTTCGCGTTTATTCAAGAGAAAATGGACATTTATTTTATTCTACGCCCGCGGCACTGACAAAATCAGTTTTGCTTCGACTTATTTTATCAATGGTCACACTGAAAGCGGTTTTATCTACAACCGGAAAAATGTTCTAGTCTGCATTTGATGTCTCTACTTTCTGCTATATAAATCAGTTTTGTTATGAAACGAATATATGACAGCACTGAGTGCTGTAAAAAAGATCAAGTTTCAAGTTTTGATTACTTCAAAAGATGTCAGCACAAGTAGATACACGATCGTAAAAGGTTTCGCACGATTCCCATGGTAGATTTCTTTCTAACTTCCCCTATCTTTTAATGAAACTTTGATGGTTCTATCTGCCAAAAATCGAAGTCTGAAGGGCATTTAGTGAAGAATATCAAACCAACAAAATTTGAATTTGCAGCTTTTTAGGGACTTAACCAATAGGGTCTCGCTATATAATTGAATTAAAGGATTAACTTTGAAAATACCAAACGGCTTTATATGCCGTCTTGACACCTTTTCTCCCTAGTTCTTGGGCACATCCTTACTTAATGTTATTATCTATTGTGCACATAAAATAATGGCAATAGAGCATTCTTGGAAGAATCTAGCCTCCTTCGCAGGCAACTCTACTCCGTGGGATTCCTGTGTTAAGGCAAAAAAGCTGCCGGAGGGGGTGGGGCTAGGAAGGAAGGAAAAGCAGGAGGAGTTACCTGCCGAATTTGAACAACTAGATGACAGTTCGCGCATGTTTTCTGCGCATAAGAAGGTAGAAAAATTTGTATCAAGCAAATTCTCTTTACTATACCCTGGTAGTTCAGAAATTGATAATTTTCAAACGGCGGTTGAGTGTTAAAGATAGTAAACTTGAAAGTCTCTTAGAAAAACTCTCTACTTTGCCTGCTTATAATCCGAGTACCTCAGAAAGAAACACTGTGAAACTGAAATCACCCTTTTTTTACGACTTTATTCGGAATAGACTAATGTCAATATGAACAATACAGCCTTTTGCAAAAATTATGAGAATTGTCGAAATATCTAAATATCATAATATCGAGTGCATGATGGGTAATCCCGCGCGATGCCCTTAGTCCCTTGCTTTGTAGTTTAGTTTTTTTTTTGGCGACAGACTTATCCGTAGTTCTGAACATTTTCTCAATGTCAACAATGAATTATTCTAGCAAACCCGCGTGTTCCGGACAATATATGGATATGGATATTATGATATTTAGATATTTAGACAATTCTCATAATTTTTGCAAAAGGCTGTATGAGGAACAAATAAATAAATAAAGTATATTGGCCCAAAGGGGGCAGCACGAACGAGACACGAGGTCCCATGCGAGGTGTTGCCCCAAAATAATTTAAAAAAACATATATGAATTCGAAAGGTTACAATAGGAAATATTAAAAATAATAAGTAAGTGGTGCGATGGCATCCGCACGTGCGCACCATAGACCAGGTACATGGTAATTCAATGTCATAAGTAGAGTTAAGTTCATTTTCCAAAATTTTCTTTAAGTACAGTTTGAAAGTGCTCATGCTACAGAAGTCATCTTTAGAAGCAGATTTACAGATTGAAGTTCCATAATTTTACTAACGATTGAAGTATGAGGCCTGAAAAGTAGACGTTTTACAGTAAGGAGTTTTCAGATTATGCGAGTTACTTTGTCTGGTGCGGCCATGTCGGACAAAAGAGACGAAGGAGTGAACATTAAGATCAGTTAAGCCATTTAAACATTTGTAAAAAAACGTAAGATCAGACAATTCCCTGTCGTATACTAATGGTAGTAGATCCAGTTTAACAAGCCTTTCCTTATATGTCATTTCCCCGACCCTTGTTTGTAAGATCCAGCGTGTTGCTCTCCTTTGTACGCGCTCAATTTTGCCTTGTAGGTAGATGTGACAGGGTGACCAAACTTGCGAGCCAAAACACAACTGTGACTTAACAAGAGAAAGATATAGAGTTCTTCTTACAGCCGGTTTTGTTAGTAGTGGACATGTTCGTTTTAGCAGCCCCAAYAGTTTATTTGCTTTGGWTACAATAGCGTGAACGTGCTTATCCCACGAGAGCGTGCTYGTGACGGTAATTCCAAGATCCTTCTCTTCAGACACGCGMTCGAGTTGTTTATTGTTAAGGCAATAATTATGTTCGAGTGGTTGTTTTTTCCGAGTGACAGTTAAGGTTTTGCATTTGGAGGCGTTAAAGTCGATATTATTGACTTGTGTYCACTCGGCCATATTAGATAAGGTGGTCTGAATAGTTTCACAGTCGTTACCATTCTTCACCGCCCCAAAGATCTTAGTGTCGTCTGCGTAAAGTGCTGTGTTTACGCCCTCTTCTGCAACGTCGGGTAAATCGTTGATGAAAATAACGAACAACAGCGGACCTAAGAGACTCCCCTGAGGCACTCCAGAGGTAACGGGGGCCCATTGAGACGACGCGCCTTCAAGAACTACCCGCTGAAATCGACCTGAGAGATGAGTCAGTGAGCCATGATAACAGCTAACCAGAAATTCCATACGAATTCGCACAACTAGAAGCAAGCAATCTCATTACGGAAATTATGAAGCGGCGTTGAAGGCTTCGTTTGGCCTTCTTGATCTCGGTTTACGAAATACATCGTATCGGTCGAAGTTCTTTGAAACTCTAACTCAGATGTGTTGAAGTTCATATTCCRAAGGACAGAAWACGGTCAATCTTGAGTTTTTTGCACTCTACAAACGTAAAAAGTTATCAAATTCACGAAGAAGTTCTACATGTGAATTCGACCTCAGTTGACCTAATATACACGTCATTTTATTTAACGTATATCAGTTATTTTGTATTCTGTACTTGGATGGAATCGCACTTTGTCGGTTAAATGACACATTCACTACCCTGGTAGTATGGTTCCACAGGCTTGTCTTTTTTTCTTGCGTGCTAAACATAAACATATGTTATTGAGCCGCGAAGCGGTGAGATGTTTCCGTTAATCGGTTTGGAAACATCTTGGCGCTTCGCGGCTCAATATTACATAAGCTGAGTATAAGCAAAAGAATAAAAGACAAGCCTCTGGAAACACTGCCCTGACAAGTAGTCATTTTTGTTGACCCCCTTTGTTTGTTTTACGATATATTTTTGCTTTTCAAGTAATTTCTAGTGTATTTAGTTGAACCGTCGTGTGACATGAAGCTTGTTTCATTTTTTACCGTTACCACTTCGCTGGACTTAAATTCGATAGATTTAAAAACTCCGGCTTTATTGAGCTTTCTATGCTTTAGTGAAATTGTAGCGAGAAATTTTTGACTTGAACTGTACTGTAGTTCACGACCACCGCTAGTCACTGTGGCTGTGGCCACACTGAGAGATAAACTTAAGTTAAAAGGAAGCTAAGTGACKTAATACAAAACAACAGTTAAACTTCGGTTTGTACAAACTGGAGACGTAGAGATCACATTCGATATTTGTAACAATTGTTACGTAGGAGCTAGGAACGCCTGACTGTTTTCTCTTATCGATCATGGCTGACCGCCGAAAGGTGGTTTTCATTCTGTTGTACGCCTTTTATCAATTTACACAGCGAARAAAAAGAATACGGAARCATTCTAGAGCATTAAAAGCATCGTGTCAYAACAGATGKATGTTTGTATCGATCATGACTGCCACTATTGTGGCATTACAGAAACGTAAAAGCGAAAGACGAGCGTGGATGCTTCCTAGACCACAGCAGTGGTTCAATGCTATGTTAACCGAACAGATATACGATTACAATCCATACTGGAAAGAACAATTCCGGTTATCAAAGGACACATTCTACTTTGTGGTTGGATTAGTCCGTGGTGCGATGGAAAAAAGGAACACGCGACTGAGAGAGGCCATATGCGTGGAAAAGYGTGTAGCTATTGCTCTCTGGAGACTTGCAACAGGTAACTGCTTCAGAGCTGTTGCATCTACGTTTGGCGTGGGAAAATCTTCAGCCATGAAGGTTACAGATGAATTAATTGAAGCACTGTTGGATCTCTATGAAGATTGGATCAGGTTCCCAACGAATGAACAGGAAACTGCCGAGGCAATACATAGATTCTCTGCTCTCACTAACACTCCTATTCCTCAAGTCCTAGGGGCAATCGATGGATCACATATCCCAATTAAAGCTCCTCAGTAAAATAAAGTAAGCTACTTCAATCGAAAAAAGTTTTATTCCATGAATTTGCAAGGTATTGTAGGTGGTGATGGTCGTTTTTTAGATGTGGCTATTGGGTTTCCAGGAAGTATCCATGATGCTCGTGTATTAAGAATGAGTGGTATTTATGCAAGAATACAAAATGGTGATGTACTTCAAAAGCCAGCAGTGAATATTGTTAATGTACCAATTGGTCCACTCATTATTGGGGATAGTGCTTATCCTGGACTTCCGTGGCTTCTTAGACCCTATAAGAACACACCTAACATCGACCGATCAAAAAAAAGGTTTAATACAACGCTTAGTAAAGCTAGAGTTGTGGTGGAGAGAGCTTTCGGAGCTCTTAAAGGGAGGTGGAGATGCTTACTTAAAGAACTTGNTTGTTACGTAGGAGCTAGGAACGCCTGACTGTTTTCTCTTATCGATCATGGCTGACCGCCGAAAGGTGGTTTTCATTCTGTTGTACGCCTTTTATCAATTTACACAGCGAAAAAAAAGAATACGGAAGCATTCTAGAGCATTAAAAGCATCGTGTCACAACAGATGGATGTTTGTATCGATCATGACTGCCACTATTGTGGCATTACAGAAACGTAAAAGCGAAAGACGAGCGTGGATGCTTCCTAGACCACAGCAGTGGTTCAATGCTATGTTAACCGAACAGATATACGATTACAATCCATACTGGAAAGAACAATTCCGGTTATCAAAGGACACATTCTACTTTGTGGTTGGATTAGTCCGTGGTGCGATGGAAAAAAGGAACACGCGACTGAGAGAGGCCATATGCGTGGAAAAGCGTGTAGCTATTGCTCTCTGGAGACTTGCAACAGGTAACTGCTTCAGAGCTGTTGCATCTACGTTTGGCGTGGGAAAATCTTCAGCCATGAAGGTTACAGATGAATTAATTGAAGCACTGTTGGATCTCTATGAAGATTGGATCAGGTTCCCAACGAATGAACAGGAAACTGCCGAGGCAATACATAGATTCTCTGCTCTCACTAACACTCCTATTCCTCAAGTCCTAGGGGCAATCGATGGATCACATATCCCAATTAAAGCTCCTCAGCACAATAAAGTAAGCTACTTCAATCGAAGAGAGAGAGCTTTTGGAGCTCTTAAAGGGAGGTGGAGATGCTTACTTAAAGAACTTGAAGTCAATGCAGAAAATGTTCCCAAAACTGTTGTAGCCTGTTGCATTTTGCACAACATATGTGTCATGAATGGAGAACCCAACCCAGAGTTTGCTGAGAGTGATGATGATGATGACAATGACTGTGATAACTTGGATAGTGATGCTAATCAAGTAAGGGAGGCAATACGGTCTTACCTAGATGCTAGAAATTAGTGGGGACCACTGTAGTTATAAACTGTATACTAAAACTGAAGAACTTATATGGTCTCTGTTATTTTCAACAGCTCCACTTGATAGAAAAGAACTATGTACTGTATAGAATTTAATTCTCCCTCAAATGACCACACCCCCCCTAGCTTATAGCTTCTGTTACCCCAAAAAGTTGCAAATTTTGATGAAAAGCAAACATATTTTCTTAAACAATAAAACTCAACTTAATTAAAACACAAGGAATGTGGCCTTTCCACACTACAACATAAACAGTAGCTCTTTCATACTTGAATGGGGACACAATTGTTCCATAAATTATCACTTTTAGTTTTTTGACATCAACAGATAGCATAAACAAAAAAATAGAAACGTTTTCATTGTCTTATGTTTCTGCTATTCATATTTGGGAACCCCAAATACCCCTAAAGTTGCCCCTCTCCTGCTTCTGTATTGCTGGAATGTGACCTGGCCCAAATAGTAAACAAACAACCTTGATATAACATTCTTGAAAAATGGATGACCATCAAAACTGGAGTAATTTCCCTTCTGTAGAATATGGTATAACAGAAAAAAAATATTTGGATGCATGTCTGAGTAAAATGATGTAGATATTCTTACTCTAAGCATTAAAGTACATTAAAGATGTGTGACTAAGTCAGTACACATRGACAATAGAGTGCATGCCACATAAGCATGAAACAATTCTTCAGCTATGTAGTGCTAAATAAGATTTTTAGTTATCAACTAACTAAGAATTGAGAACAATGGTACAAAGGAATTGTGTTTATGCTTCGYTGAATTCTTAGTTAGTTGATATATAAAATCTTATTTAGCAACACATGTTAAGAACTGTTTCATGCTATGTGGCATGCACTCTACCCTACAGCTTGTCAATTAAGGCCATTAAGATTTCCTTTTGTCTTTCCTCTGATTTTTGCTCCATTTCCATAAGGGTAT